AGAACAGTTTGACTGGTCGGAATTTGCATTGTAAAAAGATTTTTGTTGAACAGAGTGAATTTTCTATTTTCAACCTTGGTCTTTGGATGGATAAATCAAAATTAAAAAAAAAACAGCATTTGCAGCGGTTTTTCGCCACAATCATAAAGCTGCGTCACTTGCCAAGACAACTTTTCTTTATTAGTTTAAACAATATTTTATTTTTCAAAAGTGCACAAATTACAATTATACAATAGAAATACAGGGATTCGGAAACAAGAAAAACTTATATAAATCCGTCTCACTTAACAAAATGACAAAATTGGGAGCATAGTGTAAATAAATCCGCAATAATATAATTTTCAATTTACATTACATGTTTATTCTGTGGTTTGCCCGTTACTCAGAAGTCAGTTTGATCGAAAGATGTGATCAACTCATTTCTAATTGTGGTCTTATATGTAGCTGTGAATATGATATGTATATTTTCACAAAATAAAGTTTAATTACCAAGTTTCAAAATCTAGTTCGACAAAAAAAATCAAAAATGTATGAACCAAATCTCCCTGTTTCCAAAATAAAACTTTGTACATCTTTAAAAATATTTTCGTTTTTCTCATCACTGATGATTTCGCTACCTGATAATAATGTTTGTATATTAACATTTCTTGGTAGTGTGGAAATGGTTTGTGTCCTAATGAGTCTATAATTATGACATTCTAGCAGATAGTGTTTACTGTTCTCAACTTGTCCACATATAGAGAGGCTGGAATGAACACTGTATTTTTCTTGAAAAGGTGTCCATTTAAGCTACTACAGTCAACCGGAGTCTGGCGTGAAGTATTTGACCTTTTCTTCAACCAGTATTATAATATGAAGGGACTTTTTTTTATATGAGCTGCGGATAGAAATCGACCTGATGCAAATGAATATCAATACATATGTTAACCTATTTCGGGTTGAAAAAATCTCTATTGAAAATCTGTAACTGTTTGAAAATTCAGCTGTTATAAGAAAAATCTACAAAACAGACCAAAATTCATCTTTTCTTTCGTATTTGAATGTTCCAGAATCAATCAAAGTCTTACACATGTACACATATACATGCACTTGCATAAGGTCGATTTTTATCCGACGCAGCTCATATCATGAATTAAATAATTCTTAAGAGTGATTTTGATGGATTTCATCTTACATCTTGTGGAAGGCTGTTCCATTCACGAATAACTGATGGTAGGAAAGAATTTTGATAAAAACAAGAAGTTCTATAGTTCAGGTTTTGAACAATAAATGCCCTTCTAGTATTATAGTTATAAACTTTGTAAAATTTTGAGGTACGAGACTACAAAAGATAATCAGGAGTTTGATCATGAAACATTTCGTGAAATGATGTCTTGATCTTCTTTCACTCAGAGTTACCCAGCCGTTATCATAATAAAGTTAAGTTTTAGAACAAAGCTTGGTGGCTCCTGTGACAATACGAGCCGCCTCTATTTGGATTTTTCTATATTGATTCATAAGGCCAAAATACAAGTGAAATCAGAGCACAAATGTCAATCCCAATGCAGGCATCGGAACGGAGTATAATGGTTGTTGTATCTATTGTTTCAAAAGGATTTCACCTTTTTTCCACTGCAGAATTTAACAAAATACGGATATTGGTGAATAAAACAATCCTATAAGTCAATATACTGTAGGGTTAATTTTTCAAACTTTTACGATTTTTTAACTGTATATAGGTAAATACAATAATTAAATATTTATCTGAAATCCAGTGCATTCATGTTAATTATTTAAATCGGAGATACTTAATGCAAATCAACATTTCAAATAGATCGTTACAAATTACTGTCTGTATCGTTCGCAAGGTCATTAGTATCCAAGATAGGCTCCAAGAGTAATACATATGCTGCATTATTGCTGATATACAATTCCACTAGCATGACATGAGGATGCATGCATAACGTTACAGAGAGGAGTACACTTTAAGCATTATTATAGATCAAGAAATTCATATGTTGACCATTTAAAACCATGAATAGCCTCTGAAGGCCATGTTTTTATCTAATTTGTAAATAATTGATATATATGTATATATTGATTTAAATATAGATCCTTACATTATATTCCTATGCTTGGTTCTGACTGGCTAAATTCTATCAAAAGTCTTTATGTGGTTCAATTTGTCCAATGACACTTTATATGTTATTATTACCACATTGTAACCACAATCCCGTCCTATTTTCCTAGAATGTGACCGACCGAATTAGACTTATCACATGTTTTGTATTTTCATGAACAAAACAACTGGTGCCACAGATGTAGCAGGATCTGCTTACCCTTGAGAAGCACCTGAGATCACCCACCCCCTGATTTTTGATGGGGTTCGTGTTACTCAGTCTTTAATTTTCTATATTGGTCGTTTTTGGTTTTTGCTATGGCATTTTCAATTTGTTTACGCCTTATAAGTTAGAATATCCTTTTGCACGGTTTCTTTTGCCGGTCTTTCTAATGCCACCATATTCGATTTCACCTGGATGACAAACAAGGGAGTAATCTGGCTCCCTACAAATACTGCCGATTTCAATTTCATATTATGATACTTGAAGAATCCTGTAATCATCTTAGCTACCTTAGCTAGCTCATGTAGCATCGAACACTTTTTGACATTGCTTTCTAAATTAGGTCCTTTTTATTTCCTTTTAAAAGTTAGTGGTCATCCTGTGGGTACCCGCACTGTGCAGGTTTCCTCATTGTGTGTTTTAAGACATATATGGTAAAGATCGGTCAATTGGAAGATTTGTGCGAACTTGATACTGGTTCAACCCACATCTTTTTTGCCTGTACCAAGTCGGGCTATCTGGATCGTGTTGTTTTCGTATGTGTGTTATTTTCGAAGGAGACAATGTTTTGGTTGATGTAGTATGCTGTACTATCCAGTATTTTTTTTGTATTTTTGTTATCTTTTTTTTTGTGATTTTTGTTATCTTTTTTTTTTTGATTTTTGTTATCTTTTTTTTGTGATTTTTGTGATCTTTTTTTTTCGGTGATTTTTGTGATTTTTTTTTTTTTTTTGTTTCATTTCTACAAAGCGTGAAATGAATTTCGTCGTCGTTTCATCAGTAGAGGATTTGAAAATTTATTGATCAAAATAAAAAGAAAATATCTGCATCGGTCATGTGTTTGACTTGAAGTGATTTAGAACTTTAAATAAAGGATCATTGTATTAATTAATAACTTATGAGTTTTGACCATGCATTTCAAGGAAGTTCAGATACATATTCGAATCTTTAAATTTTGAATTCTGGATTTCAAATGAGCCTTCGACACTTTACAATTTACCTCAATAGGCTTTAAATTGAATATCATTTTTTTTTAAAGTTAAACGCTCCGAACATACACATTTCTAATATAAGGAAATAACCACGCGACGACAACAATAAAAATCAAGATTATCAAAAGACCCAATGACATAGACTGATTTATGTTTAACAATAGTAGTTCTAAAAGTGCCCAAATTTTCTATTTCATGTGTAATGTTCAGTTTGCTTGGAAAGCACCAAAATATCAGGTCATTCATTCCAAGAATAATGGTCTGAAATTTTGCCGTATGCACAGACATCGTGACTGGTTTTTGATTTAGCGGTAATTCATTGGAATTGAGTTCTCCTAAACAACAAACTCAATCACTAAAAACAATTAAGAAAATAAAAACAAAATTACTTTTTGTATAATGATGTATAATGATATACATTTAGTCGGTCGAATGGAAAAGAAATTGTTTAGTGAGTCCTTGAAGTTGTAAATACTATTTGTTTAATGACTTTATCATTTAGTATCTAGATCCGTTCATTATGAATAAAAAAAACCAACAGAAATCATATAAAATTGTTTTATTATTCCATTGCTACAGACGTAGATGGTTCCTCAGAAAATTAAACTATTTTTTGTTACTTGACCTTCCTTATTGCTATAATAATTCCTAAAGCTAAAAAGTGAAAAAAAACCACTAAGTTTATTCAATGAATCCTAGGTCATAATCACTGATGATTATCAGATCTGTGATTGAAGAGTTGTCACTGTCCGTTAGTGATCCTATTCGGCAGTAAAAATGCATTTGCGACTATCAAATCCCAAATTGACGATAACAACTCTACAAACACAGTACGGTTATTCTTTTTATACAGTAATATTAGTAAAATGTTCAAAATAAAGATTTGAAATATCCTGGTTGAAAGCGCTGACTGCGATATCGCAGCGTTGTTGCAAATGACTCCGACCGTCAACCGTGATATAATTAAAAGTGGCGTTACATATCACATTTCAGTATTAGTGATAACGTATTACAAATGTCGAAAAGATCTTATTATTTCAAAGCTTTTAAATGTTATTTGCCTTTAAGGTTGTTGAGCAACAAAGTAGGACAGTGAGACAAAAAAAAAAAATTTAATTGCAAAAAGTGAGATCCTTATCGTATTATGTGCTTTCAACAATGAATTTCAAACTTAAGATATTGAATCTTTAAAATTGTAGGTCTTAAAGGAACCTTCATTATTTTCATAAGCAATGCAGTTCGATAGGATATAGAAATTGGCGATAGATACCATAGAGACATTCAAAGCTCATAAGTCGACGACATACTGACAACGCCATGGCAAAAAACAAAAACGACGAAATTGGATATAAAATTAGTGAAAAGGCTAAAGACACTCCGAATAATTTTATTGATTAGAAAAAAAACCACATGCGGATACAAACATAATATGTTAAGATACGAGTAAGTAATCAAAAGTCACAATGACATAAATTGATTTAAATTACCAATGTAGCAATACTATACACCACACAAAAATACAAATTAAAAATGAGAGCAAAGCTACTTTGTGTAAAATGATAATGATTATTATGCAATTCTTCAAAAATTCAAGTATGTTCAATTGCCTTACTCAAGTATATTCACAAAGTTTACCTTATTTCAAAAACGAAATATTTATCAAGATACTTTGTCAATCGGAAAAAATACCATCAAAATTACGGATAAGGGATAGAGGTTTGTATACTTTTTTTTGGTGGGTCTTAGTTGGAATTAATCGAGATATTTCAAACAAATAAAAACTACGCTTCATCAATGATCTGTTACGTGTGACCTAATGTACATTAGATGTCAGGCATCAGAGTAGGGTTGTTATCTCCTTCCCCCTTCCTAGATGTAGTTGATGAGTGTATATTATGGTTCAATCATTATTAGAAATAAAATTTATGCAAGTAAAAACTATACCGTATATATAAAATCTTGAATTATTCAAGGATGCACACTTACTTTACTGATTATTAAGAAGCCTTTTCAATCGAAAAAGTAAATTACATCAAAATGACGCAAAAAAAAAGATAGAATTTGTCAACACACAAAATGTCCAAAAGACCTCTAAATGATGGAAACATGTAGAAATTTTTAACTACACGTTTCTGTGAACCATAAAAGAAAAACATTTTAGGTATACAATGAGTAAATTTTTCGTAATGTATACGATATAAAACTGATCGAAATAACGGAATGTACAGCAAGAATCGAATATCACGCTTATTAAAGTAATTATAGTTCAAGCAAGCAAACAATAAATCTCTGAAAAAAAACATATAGAAAATAAATAGAGAATAGACAAAAAAAAATAGCGAACATCCAGAAAGGTAACGACTTATTTAAAAAAAAATGTATTTCTTTTTTTAGAGCTATATTTAAAAAAGTAATTGTTCTTTTTTGTTAGTATACCTTCAAACAATTTAGCAATTGAATAAATGACTAACCCCTATATTATACATTGTTTGTAATAAAAGTCTATTGTTATTTCAGATTTAATATGCTTACAATAGTAATCTACAAAGATAATATTACTAAGTTATAATTGTAAGAAAAAAATAATAAATCTATGGATACATTTTTTTCTTGAAAATTGCTCCTTTTTGTTATGATAGAATACATCTACGAGGATCTTCATCCTGAAAGAATACATATACTACAAATACAGGCCATATAAAATAACAATAAATTCTGTCGAAAAGCACGTTATTATAATGTAGTTATATCAATCAACAATATTAAATTTCTGAAATACGAACGAAAATTGACGTATTTAGTTATTATCCCCTAATTGTCTAAATGACAATATATCGGCACAAGGGAACATCTAACTTCCTCTGTTGATATCATGAATATTGTTGATAACAGACAAGGTAGTAACAGGCAACCATATCAATCGAGATCAACGACTTAAACATCGCTAATATTATACACTTGCTAATCTCTTATCTATATTTAAAAACAATGGTAGGAATCACATTTTATTTAAACTTGGACAAACACAAATTGGTAAATTACATTATATTTTAAAGGAGTCTGACACGATTTCGTTTTCAGCTAAACATTTGAAAGTACGTGTATAAATACAGCCATGGGCTGTTCTCGAGTATCGATAAACCTGAAGTTCACAAACTGTATTTTCTGAAAATAAATATATCAACATCGATATTGATTGTATCAACTTGTATCTAGTATATGTAATGACTCTTTCATATAAAACTAACACCCCTTATTTTGATAGCAAAGAACCAATTATTATTAGTGTTCATACACAAACAGTAGAATTTTAAGTCATAATCATACGTCAGTTTAGAAAATAATGCTTCTTCAGCTGGAGACTGAGAATCATCAAATTTTAGATTTGATCTCAATGGCCATGTCATTACCAGGGACTTCACCATCTTTCAATACCAAGAGATTAAACACTTTTGAAATAAAATGAAATATCGTCTGCCATCTAAAAAAGATTGGAAACAGTATCGGCAGGTCATAAAAAACGCTCTTTCGTCCTATTTTGAATACAATTTGAGAATAAATAAAAGGGAGCATATACGCCTACTTCTTGAATAAGAAACATACTTTAGTACTCGGAAAGCAGTTTATTGGCTGTAGCTGTAGAAAACAGGCATTTATAACAAACGATATGGAACATCGTAATTTTAAGGTGAATTACAAATCGTAAGTTACGCATGATTATTTGCAGTGCATTATGCTATATGTTTCTTACTCTTTAATGTTATAAATTATGTAAAGTGCAAGAAGGAATAAAACATGCATTACAAAATAAAAGTACCAAACTTTCGATAATAATGATATATAATGACTAGTTTAAACTGTTTCATGACGTAAAGAGTATGATTTCCTACATAAGCAAAATATTTCTGTAAATATTTTAGATCTTTGTATGCATATAATATTAAGTGCACTGAAAATTTATATATTAAAACAAACAAGATTTACTTTAAACGTTTGGATGAAATACATACGCTGTGCGATTGGCTATCGACGCTTGCTCTGAAAAAAATAAGAAAAATACATTAAATGTATAATTTGTCTAACATGTTTACAAGTTACCAACAAACAGAACATAACTAACGAAAGGACAGAAAAAAAATTGAGTGATAGTGTTTGTCTTCAGATGTCTATCTAGTAATTGTTTCAGATTGAACAACTAGATTCAAATGCGGTATCAACCAGATATATACATGCGTGTTGAATGTAAAGTATATAAAAAAATATTTTAATCACTAAAGCACTTAGAACATACTATAATAATGTTTAAGACAGATATTTCAAAGCATTTTTCAACCTACAAAACTTTAAACAATTAACAAGAGCAACAGCTGATGATCGCGGCGTTTTAAAATTCGCCTTTAATGTGAGTCGTGTTTTACTTTATCGGAATTTGTAAATTTTACCTTAGATATTACTGCTTAATATTTTTTAGATCGTAAACACGACTTGATAGTCGAAATTTTAGGCAGTGCACCACTGTCACATGCTGAAGTCCATCTGCGTCAATTTATCAATGAAATGCACGAGACTTTATTAATTCAACCGAACACATATCCCAACGTTTTGTACGCGTAAAAGATATTTAACTAAGTATTCCCTTTTACTTAATATTCTTAACCAAAAAAAATTAAAATAAGATACAGTTAAAACAAATTGCCGATAAAAAGAATATTTTTGATACTGACTTCATCAGCTCGAATATAAGATCACCCTAGTGGTTTCACTTGATATTCTATATATGTAGTATCATGAGTATGTTACCCTAAGTACCAAGATAAACAAACTGTTAAGTTAACATTCCATCTCAGTTTGTCGTCTTAAGTACTAGTACAAAACAGGGTATATACTTATTTAATTATATTTTGTCATACCAAATATACTTTTCCTTAAAAAAATACTGATGAACGTCAATCTATTTATCCGAACATTGGCACAACAATTCATATTTAAAAGCACTGCAACAAAAGATTTGCAGAAAGTTGTGTTCTTTTTATGTGACGTCATCATGCATTGTCGCCTTTTTTTCCTGACGTCACTATAGGAAGATTCAGCAACAAACGAAGACAATTTGACGTCATAATTTAATATCGACCAATATTTTGCCGAGAAAAAATATTTCACTAGTGAGAAGAAATATTGTTCACACACCGATAAAAAAATGTGAAAATGGCACAACAATATGTTAATAGCTGTTCCTATATTATACCAAGGTTACAATGCTCGATATAATGCATGTGGGAATGTTGACGTTTGAAGAAAATAAACATTGACAAAATACGTACACATCTCTAATCTTGCTATATGGTGGTGGCCTGTAAGGTAAAAAAAATGTTTTAATAAGTTCAAACAAAAATGTGATTTTTTCCCCTCTAATTTTAACGTCAGTTAGCAAAGTTGGCAGTATTCTTAATACTTGTTTAGTTACTTCACTAACTTTGCTTATTTAAAAAACTTTTGATCTACAGTATAAACTAAAATCCCCCGTTAATAAAGAAATGATCAAAGTTTATCTGAAATTGATTAGGTCATAAAGATCCAAATTTTTCGACGTATTTGTACATGCCTGGCTTTCAAAATCTTGGTTTAGCGATTCGGATGTACCATGTCAGGAATATGACAGTTGTTGTCCATTCGTTTGATGTGTTTGAGCTTTTGATTTTGCCATTTGATTAGGGACTTTCCGTTTTGAATTATCCTCGGAGTTCAGTATTTTTGTGATTTCACTTCTTTTGTACAGTACTTCCGTTACTAATAGTAGACCAACTGAAACTAAGCCTTATTATAAACTATAAAAAAAGTTACATCTTTGTTTGGCATTTGAGACAATTTTGGAATAAGTGAGTATAATACTGATTTGATATCATCATCTTGAACAAATAATGGAAAATACTGATTTTCTCTCGAAGGCTTTCAAAAAAAGCACAATACAAAAAGGAAATACACTTCATCTTCTACTTTATCCCCGCCAGAATTGAAGAATCTTTCCGTTGCTAAAGTTTTTCTTTTACTGTAACAATCAGTTTTAATAGTAAGGTTATGTGCAACAAATAATTATTTTTGTGAGAAGTGATCTATCATATTTTTGTTTATCAAAGCTAATGTAAGCCTTCAAGTCAACCGATGAACAAATCTTACTATAAAATCAGAGTTTACCTTTGTTATTAGATTCAGTATGCTCAATTTGATTTAATGTGTTGCATTTATAAAAGTTTTTATTATAATAAGTGAATCCGCAAATTTACGCAGTATGATACTTATTATACAAATTAAGTAACATTTATAGTTTTTATGTGATGATTGAAGGCAGCAAGAGCTCTTCTGCGAATACAATTTTTCATCTTCTACAAAAGCAGATCTTAATAGATCATTTTTTGTCGTTACCAACTTCGATGTCAGTTAATCTAGAATAATATTCAAACATTAACTGATTTGATAAAAACTATAATGGATAAAACTCCAGTTCTGTACATGAATCTAGATTGGAAGCCTTACCATGAGCACCAAGAATATTTGCCATAATCATAGTATGAACCTTTTCAAATGGAAATTTATCTGCAGTATTTTATCTGAGATCCAAATTTAGATCCACAAGTCAATATAGTTGAAATTTCTCACCCATTTATCCACTGTAATAAAGTTAGAATATGGTAATTTTGATTAATTTGAAGGTTAAATATGCCTTGCCTATTGTACCAGGAAGAGTTTCGGCACCTTTAATGCTGAAAACAATACTTAGGTACTCTTATTCTTTAAAAGATTCTAATGGGACAAAGATAAAATCAATTTTTGTCTATAAGAAATCTATTTTTGGTTATTAGATAAAATCCTAATCTAAGTATTATTAGTGTTCACGCTAAGACTCGAATCAATACAAAAGGACTATAAGGCATCCAAACAGTACTGCAAGCCAGTAGGTGTCTCTGAAATTAAAACCATATCATCTACATACAGAAGATGATTAAAATTTATTTAATTCAGAATAACTTGACCAGTTTAAATAGTGTTAAAATATGAATCTAGGTCACCAACACAAATATTCAATATGGTAGGACCTAGACATTCCCCTGTTATACCCCCAAATTATCCTGTAATGATTCACTTATTAAACAAGCAGTTTTACGACTATATAAGGTATTTCTATACATATGTTTTATCAAGTCATTAAATTTGCTATCTATTCCCTTTTGAAGTAGTTTATGCAGTAATGCCTTTTTTACAGCACTGTCGAATGCCATTTTGTCGTCCACAAAGTAAATATAAAAGATTTTGTTTTACATTATCTAAATATTTTTTATTGATTTTTTAACAATGAATATGTGGTCAATTGTTCTAGATCCTTCTCTCAAACCACCCTTATTGACACTAAGTAAATATTTTGAATCTATGAATATGGTCAATCTGTTTTGCAGAAGATAATCTACCTAACTTGAAACACATATAACTCTATAGTTATTACAATCATTAGGATCAACTGATTTAAAAATCAAAGATATATGAAACTTTCCATATTTTTGAAAATTTTCCCACTTAGTTATATTTTAATAATAACAAGAACCATAGACGAGGCGCTTTATTCAATACACTCATTCATTATCAAATCAGGACCACCTGACTTACCATAATTTAATTTAGTGATTTTTTTTAACTAAATTACAAATATATTTGTAATCCAGAGAACATTGGTTTTTTTTCGTGTTTTCAAGTTCAACAGAAATGGGTTTTCAAGAATATGACAGTTGTTATCCATTCGTTTGATGTTTTTGAGCTTTTGATTTTGCCATTTGATTATGAACTTTACGCTTTGAATTTTCCTCTGAGTTCAGTATTTTTTTGATTTTACTCTTTGTCTAAATCTGACTTTAACAAAGATTTGTAGTGCATTACCGATGCCTGATTGTATATAGGACTGGGCGCCTGTTAATTGTTATTGATTTCCAACAGGACTTTGAATCTTTATAGTCTAGATATTTCTCTTTTGGAGGATGTATGAATACACATCCACGTTCTTTTTCTATATAGAGATTGCTTTATCTATACATAACATTTTACATATTTATTATAAGGTTAAAACCGAACTATTCTACTGTCTGTCGATACTTTTATTTTGGCATTGCACAATACATGTATTCTTTGACTGTCCGTGACGTTAAAACATTAAAACCCTAGGATGTGTTTTAGTTGATTTTAGTCTCTGGTGTATAAATTTTTATTATTAATTGTTTTTGGCCTTTAACTACCTTTCAGTAACTGCGAGTACTTTCAAATGTACATACATGTTCATTTGACCTGTTGAAACAATTTGAAATGCATTTTTGTTGTTCAATGTTTACTTATTTTGTGTTATATCTCGTCTCACTATTTTTTATAGTATGACGATTAATTTTCACTTCTGTTCTCGTACTTTGAACAACAAATTTATTTATCTTGTATAAAATATTTCCGTACTCCATGTACTCCTTGAAACAAAATTATTATATTTACCTGTGTACATTATTTTATTATACGTCATTTTGTCCAAGATTAAAGTTGTCTTTCTGGTTTTATTTTACATCTTCCCCCTTTTTTATTGATATAATATTCACATTGGGTCATAGATCAAATTCAAATTCAGTCGTTCAGTGTATGTTTACTTGTTTTTTTAGAAAATGTCTTTTGCTTGAGTTAAGCCAATTTATTTTATATTGTATAGTGTGTCTATTTCTATGTTGTGATGTTACATTCAGGCTAGGATGAAAGTTTGCACCTGTTAGCTTGCTGTTCAGTGTGAGCTAAGACTCCGTGTTAAAGGCCGTTCTTTGACCTTATATTTATTAGTTTGATTAATAAAGGTCCTATCTAACTCGGCTTTATTGTTTTAAACAGGGTTTTCCTTTTATCTTATCATAATTATGAAATTGTGTGCAACTTTCTTTTTCTAAAATGTCTTATTAAAATTAAATATCAACAAAGTCACAGGAAGTCAGTTATACCCATTGTAATAGTTCTAAAACGGTGAAACTGAAGTGGTGAATGATATAAGCGATAAAAAATTTTGATGAATAGCAATTTAAAGTTAAAGGATAAACAATCCCAGGTTGGTATGTTCGTTGGTAAATGTATTGGTAAGATGTTTGTTAAGGTCACCAATATTGTTGTATAGAAACAACAGGACAAAGTGTTTAATTGTAACAATTATGTCTTAGCATGTTTCTGAAATAGTCATAATCTTTAAATTGAGTAAGAGTTATCAAATGCAAAGAAAACAATACTTAATGGATGTACAGTCATCATACATTATAAATTAAATGATTTTCTCATCTGGATAAAAAATCAAATTAGCTACTGAAAGTCGTAATGTCACTTAAGTTAAATACAAACTCACATTTCTCTTGAAGAACTGAAATAAAAATATACTTTAAACACAGCATCTGCTTAATTGAACGAAAAGAAAAGAAATTATATATCAGTTAAAAAAAATAATGAATTGGAGAAAGTGAATCTATCATAAATAACATAAAACGAAAGTCGTAGTGCGGTTTTTGTTTGTTTGAACGGGAGGAAATAAAACAACACTTCGTTGTCATTGTATGACGATAAGCCCATTCTATGTCAATTAATAATGCGATTCCCAGAAGTCAAACTGATTGCTGTACAATCAGTGCAACAACCAATTTTACTCATTCAGTTAACAAAACTTATTTCTTCAGAACTAATATATCCATACACTGCTCAAGCATTACATATGACAAGTGTGCCTGGAATACCTTATAATTAGTTACTGATGGGTCGATGAGATTGTTGATTCACGTTTTATTCTACATGTTCTAGAGGGTAACACTAGCTCAGTAGTAAGCACTTGTGCTTACAGGAAATATTATTGATGCGATTAATGTCTACTGTCCTTACGGTAGATTTACTGTATAACGCCATTTTAGATTGTAAAATAGTAGGACCCAATCAGTTTAGGTCTTTGCAATGTTTCTAAAACACGCATTTAGATGTGCTTGCAACATTGTCTTCTCGTGCAATAGTCTTGTATCTTATTGATATTTTTGGAATACAAATTATCAATAAATTTTTATTATGAGTAACAAACATATTTTGATGACATGTCTTATAGACTTACTAATTTTGAAAGCTATCAAAATAAATCAATAATTAACGGGCACACAATGAAGTGAAAGCAGTGGGGTTGCAGAACAAAATAAAGAAGAAATTAAGTAAGCGACAGTCAAACTGCCGTTTGAGTTAAATGGTAAAACTTACTTATCAAATGGAGAACTGAAATGAAATATAATTAAAATTAAGTATATTTATTAAACAGAAAAAACAATATATAGATATATTTATATATCAATTGGATACATTTCTAATTATATTAAAGCTGTAGATTTTCTGTAATGTAATCCGTTTGAGTTGATTAAATTAAAACATGTTTTAATAATACGTCTTAATACTAAAAACTGTTTTGAACGCTATCAGGTTGTGTATCAAGCATTAAAAGACAAAAAAAAAAAATATTTGAAACCAGTTGGATTTATAGAACAGAACAAAATGATTAATATTAAAAATGCCGTTGCAGCATAATTTCTGAAATGAAATAAACATAACATTAAGAATATTTTTAAATACAAGGAAGACAAAAACACATCGATGTCTTTTTTCATTTGATTTAGGAAAATGAAAAGATTTGGTTTTTCAATTACCGGTATCAAATGAAAAAGGTATTGCCTTATTTTTGTCCACGTATTCAATAGGTATTAATGAAAGTGCATCTCGAGACGATATTAAAATAGCAAATGTCATTCTACCATTAAGATGAAATGTCAATACTTACCTAATATATGAAGGACTGAAATGGAAATATACATGACTTGGAGCATCATTAATTTACCAAAAAGAAAATTAAAAACAATATATATCTGTTTGATGTTTTGCACATTACATAAATATAACGTAAATGAAATCTGCAGATGTGGCATATTGTTTCATTTAAAGAACAATTATATTTTAGGAAAAATGTAACTGGCATTAACAAAATAAACCTAATGCATCATACTCGTGTTCCACTTTTTATGCAAACTTTGTATGTCAAAGAAGTCTAAGCAAAACACATTAGAATGTGATTTGCAGTGTTTCGTTTTAACGTGATTTAATTATTTCTAATTTTTGGAACCATTCACTTTACAGTATTAGTCAAATGTGAACAGAACATATACTTTTTTACACGCTTCTGTCATTTAATACGATACGGTTCGTGTATCGATGTGCCTTGTTGATTGGTTGATGTAACTGTTGATGGACGTATGTTCCGAGTATAACACTAGTCCAGTATTCAGTGCTATTGTGCTAATAATGAATATTATGTATGTGGTGATTTCCTGCAAATTTACTTTCCTTGAATGTAAAAACTTTTCGGTAGACTTTTTCTTTTCCAAAGGCATTGATTGCTCTCGATATATTTGACCAAAATTTTAGAATTCTTTTTTGTAAGCTCTTACATAATTACCGTCGTCGTCTTTCAACTCTTCTGATTCAAGCTCCACATAAGAGACTTATATAAGATGAAACTCGCGTCTTGTGTGCAAAACTTTCACTTAGGTTTTGAAATGATTTTTATATAGGTCGATCCCAAAAACAAGGAACAATAACTCTTTATGTGCATACAGTTTCATGTGTCGCTTAACAATTCACTAATCCAGAAGAATTGTGTTTGCTCTTCTCTACTCTTGTGTTAAAATAACACAACTTCAGTCTTTTTTTCTTTGAACTAAGAATGTATATTATATAACGTCGCAGATAAAAAAAAACAGTTCAGGTGTACATGCGATATTGTCTTCTCATACTTATGTGTCTAATTTCCTATAAACATTTTTAGCAGAAATACAAATCTTCAAATTTTATTTTTGCAAATTAAACATTTTAAAACAAACATTGTTTAAACATTATTTCAATAATTGTTTTAATAGCAATATTTGTGTATCAAATCTATCGAATTGAAGCTTGTGTACTGAGTGTTTATAGACAAACATTGATGTGTGAACAATAAGATCAAAACAACAGAACATAGTGTTAAATAACAAAAATAACGGTGAAGCATGATTTCTGAAATGAATATTTACTTTAACATGTTGAATTTTCTTATTTTTTTTTTGATAAATAGCAGACAAAACTAATTCGATGATGTTTTTGATTATATGTAACAAACATGAGATTTTTCTTTTCCTTCGCCAAGAGAAGAAACTGAATAACCGCAAGTCATGTTGCCATTATAAGTGATTGTCAATACTTACCCCTCATTTGGAGGTCTGTAATTGAATACAAAACTTAAAGTTTAAGCCAATTTATTTTATATTGTATAGTGTGTCTATTTCAATGTTGTGATGTTACATTCAGGCTAGGATGAAAGTTTGCACCTGTTAGCTTGCTGTTCAGTGTGAGCTAAGACTCCGTGTTAAAGGCCGTACTTTGACCTTATATTTATTAGTTTGATTGATAAAGGTCCTATCAAACTCGGCTTTATTGTTTTAAACAGGGTTTTCCTTTTATCTTATCATAATTATGAAAGTGTGTGCAACTTTCTTTTTCTAAAATGTCTTATTAAAATTAAATATCATCAAAGTCACAGGAAGTCAGTTATACCCATTGTAATAGTTCTAAAACGGTGAAACTGAAGTGGTGAATGATATAAGCGATAAAAAATTTTGATGAATAGTAATTTAAAGTTAAAGGATAAACAATCCCAGGTTGGTATGTTCGTTGGTTAATGTATTGGTAAGATGTTTGTTAAGGTCACCAATATTGTTGTATAGAAACAACAGGACAAAGTGTTTAATTGTAACAATAATGTCTTAGCATGTTTCTGAAATAGTTATAATCTTTAAATTGAGTAAGAGTTATCAAATGCAAAGAAAACAATACTAAATGGATGTACAGTCATCATACATTATAAATTAAATGATTTTCTCATCTGGATAAGAAATCAAATAAGCTACCGAAAGTCGTAATGTCACTTAAGTCGCTTAACAATTCACTTTATTCCAGAAGAATTGTGTTTGCTCTTCTCTACTCTTGTGTTAAAATAACACAACTTCAGTCTTTTCTTCTTTGAACTAAGAATGTATAACGTCGCAGATAAAAAAAAAGAGTTCAGGTATAAATGCGATATTGTCTTCTCATACTTATGTGTCTAATTTCCTATAAACAATTTTAGCAGAAATACAAATCTTCAAATTTTATTTTTGCAAATTAAACATTTTAAAACAAACATTGTTTAAAAATTGTTTCAATAATTATTTAAATAGCAATATTTGTGTATCAAATCTATCGAATTGAAGCTTGTGTACTGAGTGTTTATAGACAAACATTGATGTGTGAACAATAAGATCAAAACAACAGAACATAGTGTTAAATAACAAAAATAACGGTGAAGCATGATTTCTGAAATGAATATTTACTTTAACATGTTGAATTTTCTTATTATTTTTTTGATAAATAGCAGACAAAACTAATTCGATGATGTTTTTGATTATATGTAACAAACATGAGATTTTTCCTTTCCTTCGCCAAGAGAAGAAACTGAATTACCGCAATTCTGTAATTGAATACAAAACTTAAAGTTTAGCATCCTTGATTGAATAGAAAGAAAATACAAAATATATCCACATTTTGTTTTATTTGTACCGGGTGCCTGCAATATACTTCATAGTCATTACACAGCAAACAGTTCATCTGGAAAAACTGGAGGACGCCATATCAAACTTTTTAACAAGTCAAACTGACCACCCATAACCAAATTGAAATTATGTGATGAAATTACTTCTACAGCCCCATCTCACAATTCAATTTACATTACTAAACATATGTGGGCATATGTGAGTACTTTGATACACGGCTCCATCATTAAATACGGAAAAGGTTCATGTACCATTGTGCCTGGTATATTTTATATATATTTTTTCACAACTGCTTGGTTTTTGCCAATTTCCATAGACGTTTCATTTTTTGGATATCAACAGTCCAATAGTCAAAGCTATTGAGCTATTGTGCGGACAGGATATATATCATTTCTGCAAGTTATTCTTTCCATACATTTCCGACATTATTCGAAATCCTACTTTGTCATGTTTGTGTCTGTAAGGCATAATTACCTTTAGAAAGATTTTGAAGAAATTTTCTATATTTGATTTTTTTTTCTTAAAGGTCTTTGACTTTGTTACCAACTTGTTTAGACTCTTTTGATATTTACTCCATTTATGATGATGCAGATAAAACACGAGTATGGCGTTTAAATATATAGGCCTGGTATCTTTGATTATCTTTTACAACCACTAGGGGGGTGCACTGTTGTCTAATTTTACGTCCATGGGGCGTATTGCAAGCCAGTTAGTCAGTTTTCTGACATAAAATATCATTGATGCGGCCAATTTTGGCAAATGTGGCTTAAGACAGATTTGACACAATTTTAAAATATTTATTGTTTAGCTTTAAACTTTAACGTCGTCATTAAACTCTTTATTTCGAGCTTCACTAATGACCCGGATAATGTACAAAATTATATGCCTGTTTTTAATATTTGTTTTAGTCACTAGATTAATGACAATGTTGTTAGATTTGTCTTCACTGAGGGTATGCCCAGCCCCATTGACCTCAGTGTACAGACACTGACGGAATATATCATTGATGCGGTCTGTTTTCCGCTAATATGCACACGAAATGTATCACTGGCAACTAATTTATAAGCTTAGTATATTTGAAAATTTTACAACCACTTGGTCGATGTCACTGTGCTTTTAACATTGCCATATAAGTGGAAGGTTTGGTTAGCCATAAAACCAGGTTCTAGTTAGCAAGCCATAACACCAGATTCACCCCACCAATGTTTTCTAAAAATGTCCTGTATCCAGTCAGGAATATGACAGTTGTTATCAAGTATTCTGTTTCTATGTATGTTGGTGTTAGATTTTGTTGCAGTTATGGTTTCTGTTGTTCCTTTGTTTTCCTCTTATAGTTGATGTGTTTCCTCAGTCTTGGTTTGTGACCCGGATTTGTTTTCGCTAAATCGATTTATGACTATTGAACAACGGTACACTACTGTTGCCTTTATTTAGTTGACATTATGTACTCCGGTACTGATGAATAGTACATTTGATACCTTTGCAAAGGACAAGGTTCACTTTTGTCACAATATTGCCCTGGACTTCAACTCGATCCTAAATGTAAAAAAAGGCCACCATTTCATTCCTAAATGCATATTTTTCATAGACACGCCAAAATACTACAAATTTCACATAAACATAGAAGTGATGTTATAATTTTTACAAAATAACTTACTTTTGGGAACCATAATTTCGAAGTTATGACTCATTGTGTATCAACTAAATAAAGGCAACAGTACGTAATAAAAATCTCTTCCTAAAAGTAAATCATGGTCTCCATAATCAGCAGGTTTTGAAAATTTTGTCAAAATACGATGAATTTTGTATTTTTTTACGGAAAATCTTTAGAAAAATATTGGCTGCAACCTCTGATCCAAACTTTTTTGTCACAAAAGATTCAAGGTTGGTACTAAATCCATAAACACAACATTATTTTGGACTAGGGATTGAGACCAAAGTGAAATATGTTTAAAACTATTATATAGCTGTAATTGGAACCAAATCTGACGTTGCAACACAATGAGTCATAACTTCGAAATTATGGTTCCCAAAAGTAAGTTATTTTGTAAAAATTATAACATCACTACTATGTGTATGTGAAATTTGTAGTATTTTGTCGTGATTAAAAAAACTTCACTAAAGTATTAGCCACTAGTGAACCTCCTTCAATGTAAAATCATTTGAAAGAAGTAACGTTGTTCTATCCTCAAACAAACATATATGACCTTAGATAGACTGGCAAAGCGTTTATCCTTTTCATTTTCAAGGTATCACACTACTAGGATGTTATAAAATTGGTCTTATAAGGTTTAATTCGAGTGTGGCTGGTGATTCTTACGTAGACGAAACATGCGTCGTGCGCTAAAACTTATATGTTTGGTATACTCAAAGATGATTATCAACCACCGGGTCAACAGTGAAAAACACATGTCTTAATTAACATTAATATTAATTCACCACAGAACAAATCACTTACTTCGAACAAAGGATGTCTACTATTTTCAACGTCCAATACAACATGTTCCATGTGCATCCGTTAGGATTTCCCCTTGCTAAATAGTAATATCTATTTTTGAAAGCTTTCAGAACCTAGGATACACAGACCAACAGATAAAATATAGGAAAGTAAAATCCGACCATAGTGTGTAATAATAATAGCTACAGCTTTGCATGATTTTTCAGATGCCAATATTCCTTAAATACAACAGCATTCATTAGACACAAGGAAAACAAAATAGACATCGATATGTTGATTATTCCATTAAGCTTTTTTTCTCTCATCCGGTTCCAAATAAAAAACATAATACGCATAAAGTCTTACTGAGATTAGAATTAAATGTCAATACTTACCCTTCTAAATGGTACCTGAAATGGAAATGTACTAAAAATTAAGCATAATTCTTAAAACCGTATTAATAAATCGACGTAGTAAAGAAATTTGTTGATTTTGATTTTTTCTCATTTGAAATATTAAACATCTTGGAGTCTGCGCTATAGATATATCGAGAATTTTATCACGGTGTTGTTTACAAAGCGGGAGAAGCACGTCATATTAGAATGAGTAATTGATAACTTTTTATCTAAGTGCCAATCTGCCTAAGAATCAAGCAGTGCTGAAAACATGACAAACAAAAACCCACTCTAGTTTACATTAATCTGAGTTTAAACTGTATAATGGTGCAATAATATAGCATTCGTTTCCTTTTCTTTTCTGGTATTTCATAATATCATTTGGTTGCAATGCATTGGAAGTACACGTTAATGAGATCCCTCTGTAATTTGCTATCATTCTAACACAAAAATATCGAGAGATGTTACGAATAATAAGACAAGAAGAAACTAAAGGCCTACCATTTCTCACTGAGGACGAGAGCAACTTCAAAATAGGATGATCAGGTCGACGTTTTTTTTCGGCCACAATCTGAAATTCTTCTTAATTGTCTGTTTTCTTTTTCGAAGACTGACACTTAACTGAGACAATATTTGACTGCAATGTCAACCTTACCTTCCTTTTCATTCTTATATTTTTATTTTACTAGAGAATACACATTAAAAATTGAGTGCACTCTGTTTATTTGTGTTTTCATATTAAGGACACCCAGGAAGATAAATAGTGTTTGCTAATGAGGTTATTCTTCTTTTACTAAACTCATTTATTTTATGTTTTCTATTTGCAAAGTCGGTTTTATGCTTTTTCTCCTTCACACATAATCCATTATTTCGAGTATTTTTCAACGTGGATTACGATGGTCTGTCCACAAACGAAGAAAATGATATATATATCTTTACTATTAAATTTGTAGACCAACATATTTAAGCCGGTTTGTCTCCGAGCCGACAATCATCTGAAGTGTTATATAATAGTTAGTGTATGTAATGTACTTTATAACATCATATAGTAATTGCTTTAATTAGCGTTACTTAATTAATAAAACCACAAATAAAGATACGTAGCTGGTTTCTTACCGTTTACGTTTTGTAAGCAGGCGGAAATGGTTTTGTATTCAATTTGTCTTGAATCAAGAACAACTCGACCCACGGCCATTTCACACCACTCAAGCACTCTCACTTCTAATTACAACTTGCATGACTTTGTCAAAGTAGCACCACTCAAAAAAAAAAAAAGAAATATAACAAACTTTAAGAAAAGTGTTTAATCATTAGATTGTTTTCTTCTTCTCTTAATAAATTCATCCTTTCTCGAAGCATCCGCGGCACACAAAGACAGTACTCGCTCCACTCTAAACAAAATACTACAAACTCGCTGAAAATATGTTTTAAATCATTACACAGTTCTAGATAAAAAGTGAAAATGGAAATGTCTTATCTTAGTTATTTCCTCCGTTCTTGGAGCACCCGTACCACACAGAGACAGAAATTGACTCGCACCTTTCGAAAAAAAAGAATTACTACAAACTAGCAACACCGAGGAATGTTTTAATCATCAGTGTTCTAGATTGTTTTCTTCTTCTCTGAGTTATTTTCTCCGTGTTAGACCTAGACAGAAGCTACTAATTGGACATTCAAAATCTAATGGAAGAAGAACTAATCGAAACTATCGACATAATGTGCACAAAAACAGTTTGAGAAACACGAACCCAAGCTGTGTATCACTATCAACCTTTCGGGTAGTCTTCAAGCCGCAAACTAGTATACATTTTTATTTAAGGGCCAGCTGATGTCCGCCTCCGGGTGCGGGATATTCTGGCTAAGTTGAAGACACATTGGTGGACTACGGCGTTTTTCTGCTCTTTGGTCGGTTGTTGTCTCTTTGACATATTCCCATTTCCATTTTCAATTTTATATATTTGTCATGAAAAGTCATTTCAGTATAACAGCAGAAAATCAATCCACAAAAACTCTTTAGACGCTGTTATTTTCATTTATAGTTAATATGAATATTCATTTATATCAATAGTTTTTTTTTTAAGTTTTATATACTTACGAACAACAGCACATACAATGACAACAGAATCCTCTGTGAAAAGAGAAATAAAAGTTGAGTGCAAATACTTTATTTTGCAGCATTTGTACCGCATAAAACACTATAATGTGCATAACTAAGCTAAGTTTTCAAAGAACAAGAATATCTAACATACTGTGTATTTAGATAGAATAGGCAAATTTAACTTATTAAAGTATAACTTAATTGTCAATAAAAAAACCTCTTTGAATATACCAGGCTTACAGATGTATAGGATAGGAGAATGTGTCTTCTACATGCGACTCATCGAGTAAAAATAAGTTAAAAATGCCAAATAAAGTTGGTGAACATCGAGGGCAAATATTCCAAAAGTTGCACGGTAATTTATACATATTGAAGAAAATGATTAGTGTTTCGTACAATACAAAATTTGGTATACAGTTGATTCATGAATTTAACAAAATCAATCATAATCAATGTCGACATAGATGACTGCTATAAGAAGACGTGGTATGAAAGCCAATAAGACACCTCTCCATCCAAGTCACAACTTGTAAAAAGTAAACCATTATAGGTCAAAGTACGGTCTTCAACAAAGAGCATTAGCTCATACCAAACAGCAAGCTATAAAGGGCTCCACAATGACTAGTGTTAAACCATTCAAACAGGTAGATCAACGGACTAATCTATATTAAAACGAGAAACGAGAACACGTATAAACAACATCATCAACGACAACCACTGAACAACAGGTTCCAGACTTAGGACAGGTGCAAACAAATGCAGCGGGTTAAAACGTTTCAACAGGCGCCAACTTTCTCCCTAACTTGAAAGAAACATCACAACATAGAAAGACACACTATAAAATATCAATTTAATTGGCTTTACTCTATCAAAATACATATTAACAAAAACAAGTAAACATACACTGAACGAAAAAAAATGATATATGACACAATGCTAATACAATATTAATTATAAAGGGGGCATATATGTATACTATTAGTTAAACAAAGAAAGGTCAATGATATCTGAAAAAAAATCTTTTAAAAAGACCGAAACAGACAAACAACGATAGCAATTCAAAAAGCGAAGAAAGAAAGGACATGAATCAGAGGAACTTCTTAAGGTCTTTTACAGAATTATAAATAAACGTTATTGTTCACACAATTTGAGGTCAACACTCTAAAAAAACGGGTTTAATTAAAAAATCGTATTAGACGAAACACTTGTTAACTATTGCAAGTGTTAAATAAAGCATGATCATTTCTGTTCAGTCGGGCAGCAATAAGGTCCTATGACAATATAAGGATGGAGACAACTACTAATATAATCGCTATAGCACATGGCTTTATGATTGAAATTCATTCAAATGGAAATAATCTAAAACTTCACAGACAAGACAACTGACCGATTAAAACATTGACTTTTCTGTAAAGTCATTTTCAAATACGTGTAGATGCTGTTGCTTCAAATTCAACTGTTTCGATTCTTTTTCATCGATGGCTTTCAAATATAAGTCTTTAAACGTTCTTAATGTAGGTACATCCAGTAATGCGATGCGGACGCATAAAATTCATAGTGTTGTTTTCTTTATTGACCCACGTTCTTATCAGATTGTATTAAAACTGTTTGCCTTGAGGTTTTCATTTATCTTATTTCATTTTATTGTTTTAAAAATTGCAATTGAAAAAAAACTACAGAACTTTTATTCTTATTCGTATGCATAACATCAGGAATTAAAGCACAAGAGCTCGGAGAAATCTACAAAATTAAAATTAAATAAAATTCCGCGAAAGTTCATTAAAACATTTGGCGTATGCACAGGTTTTACGCAAAACAATTTTGTCGTGTGGATGTGGGTATAGAAAGCGGACTCCAGGAGCATTTTTGTTTTATTTTTTCAGTTCTAGATTTTCTAAAAATGAGCACTTTTGTGTTACGCTTTTTAAGTCATTTCAAAACATGACGTCATACAAATAAAAATGCTAAAGCTGAAGTTTTTTTTTTTGCGTAACGTGAACCATCGAAATTCGTATAATATTACATTAAATGGATTTTTGAGGTAGGTGTTGTTTTATTTTCTATTCTATTGCATTATTTGCATATTTACTGATTTCAACAATTAAACATGGCGGCTCCTTAGTTACGAAATATCAACTTTGGATTTGCCGGTAGCTTACGAGAAAAACATGTAAATTAAAAATTGCAAATGTTGGGTTTGAGAATTAAAAGAATTCAGATCATAATTTTCTAGCGATTATTCACGAAATAATTCATGCAAGCTACAAATTTACTAGAGTGTTTTAGCTATATCTAACAGAGAGTAAAAAAGAACAGCCACACACACAGTATACCCTACCTCGCTTCAGTTTTTTTAATGACCCTATTTGTCCTGTTAGAATCGAAATAATTCATTTAAGCCATATATTTGTTGTAAATTTACACATGGCTTTGGTCTTGAAGTTTGTTAATGTTATCCCTCGCTAACACTCAGCATAAAATTCGAATATCACGGCCCAGGCCATGTGTGAATTTCAAACAAATCTTTGGCTTCTAAGAATTAGTTCTTAATTTAACAATGATTGTAATATTTAGGTCAGATGAATGCTAAATTAAAGGACGCGAAATGTAATCATGTTGCAGAACACCGAAGACCGTTCTTTTGCAAATTGTAATCAAATATAATGGTAGTACATGTAAACAAAAAAATGAAAACGGTCAGAAAGATGATGATATTATGCATTGCAACATTATATAACGTAGAATTTAAAACAGACTTACCTGTTTTTACCTGCATGTTGAGTTTTGTTACCTTCACTTTGTTTTTCTAAAATGCATATTTTGATACAAATGAATTTCCGAATAACAAACCCTTAACAGTACATTTGATACATATGGATTCTTCCATTGCATCGAGTGTGATACGATATTTATATATTAACGCGAAGCTCGCCGAGTGTTTTAAATATTTAAAATTTAATTGTCAAGAATGGATAGATATCGTAATACACGAGATTTGGTGGTGAAATCTGTTTTTCTAATGATTTTTTAACAATATGCATGCAAACTTATTCCTTCTTTTCAAATGATCTGCACAAAAATGTATTCTTTCAATGAGTAGTCCTCATGCATGGTTGCCTTTTTTCATGCCGTCACAATAGGAAATTCAGAGAAGAGGAAGAAAATTCGACGTCATTATCGAAATTTGACCAATGAAGAACGCGATCAAACAAACCACACGTTGATTAAATAAAATTTAATAACATGTCAGGAAAAGGATAAACCGTGTAACAATTAGAGAAATTAGTTTAAATATTGAATAACGCATAAACAAGTACGACGTAAACGTTAATTAATTTAAACATGGGATTAGCAAATACGAGCAGTACTCTTATATATATCCATTTTATCAAAATTGATAGTTGATAACATGTTGAACTATTGGAGAAGTGAAAAAAAAAATCCTTTTTATGAATGTCTTTTTCTTCTTCAGACACAAATTTAACATCTTATTCATGTATTAATTCCATATTAATTTGAATTTCATATTCAACGCATATGAGGCTTCTCTATTTTTGTCCAAATACGATGTTTCTTTTTTGCAGACTCCCCCATGAGAAATAATAATTAAAACAAAATACATTCAAAGAATAAATTTGTCCTATAATCATAAAAAAAAAAGTTTGTTGCAAAAGAGATAGCGAATTAACACATTTGAAGTTCTATCTTACGTCTTATGTCTGTTTCATTAACAAATGCTCTCAAATTTTCAGGCTTGCTGCTATTCTTAATGTTGTTTTATAAATGTGTAACTTTTACTACATACACAGTTTTAACTAAAGTGTTTTCGATGGCAGAAATGCTAGTAGATCTGTCAACATTACTTATTAAATTTGTCTGTCAGAGTATTTGTTTTTCTACTTAGAGAGTCATACTGATTGAGTAAATACCTTTTTTTAAACCATATTAAACTCTAAATTCACGGCTTAACTTCATTTGATTACTTATTTGCATTGATATTTACGACTATCAGACTTTCAAATAGTTAAAGGATTTATTATTTTATTGCATTACTTTAAACATCGGCAAATCATTGAATATGAGATTTTAGGTAATAAGTAGTGTGAAAAACCTATCCATTAAAATAGATCCATAACAATATAAATAACAAATGGGGTAACAATAAGAATTGCAATTGTATATATATGTGTTCATAAATGTTACTATAATGAAATGAATATATATGTTAAATGAGAGATATATACGTTATGTCAACCTAATTATAGAAATATACACAGAGTTCGTAGGTTGCGTTTGATGTCGACAGATTGGCACTTTACAAAATTTGAAGGTTGGCATACATGTAGACATGTAGACATGTAGACATGTCTTTATCTTTTTTTAAATGTCAGCCAGTCGGCCTAAAAAAAACAGAGGCGAAACATACCAGAGTGACATTCAAACTCATAAGTCGAAAATAAACTGACAACACCATGGCTTAAAAGGAAAAAGACAAACAGACAAACAATAGTACACAAAACAGAACATAGAAAACTGCAAACTGAGAAACACCGACCCCACCAAAAACTAGGGGGTGATCTCAAGTGCTCCGGAAGGGTAAGCAGATTTTAATTGATGTTTATTTCTTATTCTTGAATTGAGTGTATTTATAACGCTTTTCTCAATATTAATATGGTGCATTGTTTAAATAAAATGGGTTCGTGAATTTACTGGTTGTCCTTTCTCATTTCTGTAACAACATTCACAGACTTGTTTGAAACTTTTAAATGTACCGTTGGATTTACTGTGCGACAATATGTCATCGCCGTTATAGGGTGCGTAATATTTACTCTAATATGTCTATAAAACTAACAACTCATCTACAGGTTAATATACAAATTTCAACGACAGAGTATTTCTCTCTAACAGATTTTGCAGAAAAAAGTACAATTAGATGATAACAGCTTTGTAAAACTCAGTATTGGATTATCAAAATATAATGAATGATAAGATTGAGAATGGAAATGGAGAATGTGTCAAAGAGACAATAACCCGACCAAAGAGCAGAAAACAGCCGAAGGCCACCAATGGGTCTTCAACACAGCGAGAAAAAACCACAACCGGAGGCGGGCTTTAGGTGACCCCTAAACAAAAATGTGAACTAGTTCAGTGAAAATGTACGTCATAATAAACTACAAAACATATAAATAAACTTAAATCAAAAATCATACAATACTAACAAAGGCCAGAGGCTCCTGACTTGAGACAGGCATAAAAATGCGTTGGGGTTAAATATGTTTAGTGAGATCTCAACCATCCCACTATACATCTAGCCAATGTAGAAAAAACAAACACACACAGCAATACGCATAGTAAAACTCAGTTTAAAAGAAGTCCGAGTCCGCTGTCAGACTAGATGACATACATAAATTAACAAAGGACTACAAGCAGTTATTTCATATCGGTTAAGAATTAGCTTCTCTTATTGGATAACAAGGGGCCACATGACATTCTTTATTCTTAAGAAAAAAATTCTATCGGTCTTTAACAGAAAAAAAAACGGACCAGAAAACAGGTCGTTAACGGACTTTTACATGTTAATGACCAGTCGGGCGTGGTTTCTCTGTTTAGAGTGATTTCACTTTAATAAAACGCAATCGCGATTCGTTAATTATAAAATTATAGAAAACTTTATTTTGTATTCATATACTGAAAAATTGCATTAAATGAATGGCAGTGACTTATAGTTATCACTATGACTGGTCTTCACTCTTTCCTAAAGAAATCGTACAATAACTCGAGTTTGCTTTGAACAATTTGAATCTATGAGAATTTTTAAAAACATTGTTTCTCAATGAAATAAACATAATAGTTATTGAAGAACTGGTTATCATCGTGATACACGGACTACCCGTAGGACAGTGGTATTGACTGCGACAGCGATAATGACCTCGCCTACGGCTCAGTCATTATCGCTTTCTTAGTCCATACCACTGTCTGTGGGCAGTCCATATATCACGATAATGACCAGTTTTTCAATAACTATTATGTAATTACTGACATGCCAGCTCCAGACCTCAACTAAACTGATTGAAAGATTATGTCTTCATCACATGAAAAACAAGCACAATCCTTCCTGTTAGGGGTTTAGTATCAAACCATCATAAAATATATGAGAAGAACATAACTCGTATCAAGTCAACAACTGGTTTTAGAATTAATGTGTTTATTTACGATGCCAATACCCTATAAGTGAATCAATATTAATACCAACATATGCCATCTTTAATGACCTGACAACAATATCGTAACTATATCCCTTCTGAATAAGTCTGTTTAAAGTTTGTGTTCGCTTTTGAGGTGAATAATATTACCATAAAAGATTGGATGTGAAATACCTGATCGTATAAGATGTCTGCATGTTGATTTATATTTACGAATGATGTCCTTGTACCGACGATAAAATTTTGTATATATTTTGACTAGTTTGTGATATCGAAAACACTGGTGTAATAATTTTTCAGTAATAGAGAGATTTCTTTCGTTAAAATCAAATACGTTGTTACATACACGAGCGAATAGAACAAGTTGAGAAATATAATTACCATAAGATGGTGACAAAGGAACGTCACAATCTAAAAATGGATAATTAACCATAGGAAATGAAAAATAATCTCTTTTATCATACATTTTGGTATTAAGCTTCCCGTTAAAGATATAGATATCATGATCCAGGAAAGGGCAGTGTTTATTGTTGGTATTAGCTTTATTTAAAGTCAGTTAAACCGGATAAATCTCTTTAGTGTACATACGGAAGTCGTCATTATTGAGAGCCAATATATCATCCAAGTATCTAAAATTGTTATTAAATTTTTGTATCAGATGTTGTTTCGATGGGTCTTAGCTGATTTTAGTCATAAATTATAACTCATAACAATATAGAACAGGTCCGCAATAAGTGGTGCACAGTTAGTCATTCCCCATTGGAATTCCGAAAACTTGACGATATACGGCATCTCCATAGCGAATAAAAATGTTATCTAGTAAAAATTCAAGGGCAGTTATAGTATCAAAGCAGGTCCAATTGACATAGTTTGTTTGTTGTTACTAAAAAAATACCTAAATGAGTTTGAACATATATATATATATTCGCATTCTGACTTTCTGAATGCCGATTTAATTAGGTTAGGTGTGTGAATTTTTTCTTAATAACATTATGAGGCAAAGTGGTATATAGTGTCGAAAAAGTAAAACCTTGAACAGATTTGAAATCACCAATATCAGCATGCAATTTATCAAGTACTTTCAACGAATTTTTTACACTCCAAAAGTAATTAATGCCACTATTTTAAAGGCCTTATTGGAACAATTTATTTCCAGGTTTTTGATTGCACCAAGTGTACTAGTAAGGAGAATAGTCAGTTTAGTAGTGGAACAGTGGCTTGAAGACGAAATAAATCTATATTTGTTAGGTGTTTTGTGCAGCTTCGGTAGCCAGTACATGGTTTGAACTTTCATTGTATTTGGTTCTGCTTGTAAAGAAGTAGGTATTAGTTTATGCTTGCTACAGATGTCATTTTCTGAAAATTGAGTCAGTTGGAATGTTGGTGAATTCGTGATTTCCTTTTGCAGAACCTCAATGTAAAATTTACTTCAAACAATAATGATATTATTAACAGCCTTATCAGTCGGGACAAAAACAAATTCCGTGGCAGTGATTTGATACGAGAAATAGGGTTATTATTGTTGTTATTAGGAGTTAAATGTTCTTTAAAATGTTGTATACGTATATCAACTATGTTCATTACTGACTTAAAATAAAATCTAAGTATTTCTTGTCAGCTTTCTCTCTTTTTATCCATTTCGAGCAGTAAGTACGGAGTGAGTCGAGGATGATGTTACGGGGGACGATATTTAGGTCCTTTACTGAGGAATTATTTCAACTCTCGGTCACGAACGATGTTAAGGTCTCCTCTTATAAAATGGGAAATGAGGCCATAAATGTATTCGGAATTATTACAATTTCATGACGTAGGTGTATTGTCACTGATATTTACATCTTTACTAACTTCGCTATAATTAAACACATATTTTAGGGTAGATTTTTTGTAAACATAACAAAAAAGAGGAAGTTCAGTATTATCAAAATATTCAGAAATTTGTTCCTTAACAGAATGTTTATTTAAGATACCGGCAATATTTACTAAATCAAAACCTGTATTGACATATTTGATTTTAATAAAATGTTTTTTAGCTTGACACTTATTTTATAGAAGGGTATATTAAAAATGTTAGAGAAAAAGGTCAAGTTTAAAGTGTAATGCGTATTTTAGGGATATATCCAGTTTCATGGATACATGAATTGTAAATATATGTATAGTTTCGAACAAAGAAGTATAGTAAATACAATTTTAGACAGATATTAAACATTGCATAATCTTAGGTTTATATAGGAAGCTCAAATATTGACTTTAGCATATTTGTGAGGTGCATTTATAAAGCAAATGTTGCAAGACTGTCTTCTGTAAATAATTGAGTATGTCCAAATCGATGGTTTCACTCTGTTTAACAAAGGAATGCAAATTGTATAGTCTTGGTCAATCTTGTCTTGGTCTACTTAGATGTTCTTAAGTTCCATTGTAGAGAATATCGCATTTTAGATATGTATTACGTCTTGACTTATAATTTTACAAAATTTCGAAATTCAACATAAAGTTTCGGTTAAGAAACTTGCAATTTGAAATTTTGCATTTTAATCTTAATATATAAATATAACTATAAATATATGTGAAATACCTCTACATTTACGCAGCTTGAAAATCCCTGCTATCACCATAAGTATTATCCCCACAATTGAACCAACAGTTGTTCCAGCTGTAAACAAATTATGATACCCATTTATGTATAATCATTATAATTTGTATACAACAATTGTTGAATTCATTCTCTTTCTTTCTCTTTTCGAGCCACAAGCAAACAAATGTAAAAACAAAACATATGAAATTAATTCGCTTTTGTAGTGTTTACCCGTAAAGGTACAAAGAACTCAAGCAAGTGTGGTAATACACCAAACTATGTAGAATTTTCGTTGTTACCGATACTTCTGGCAGTGGTATACATGTGTTAATACTCATGCATTATTCATGACCCAAACATGAAGATGAGGACACAAACATTGGAAGTTTTAAAAAGGGAAAAAACTGTCCATGTTTCACACGTTATTTTATTCAAATTTTACTTCCAGTTGTTCGTGTCATTACTAGGAACATCACAAAACCGATACTGTTTACCCCTAAGGGTGATAAGGGTATAGAATAATGTTTCGTTAGTCGTCTTCAAAAATCATTGCCAAAGTAGAGATTCTGTCTGACTGTGCCGGATGTATAAATGCAAAGTCAGGTCCAGTCAGTATAGAAACGTTATATACCAAACTCTCTGCCTGTGGCATGATGCGAGGCAAAGACTGTAAAATATTGTATTATATTCTATTGGCGTTGTAAACATCTTGCTATTTATACACGTCGTACCACCTAGCAGAACATCCTTATTATATAAACTGCGTCTCAACATTTCTCATCCCCCGACAAAATAGTCTGAATTTTATGATTATATAAAATCAAGCAATTTGGAAAAAAAATATATTTTAATCCCTGTTCTTCAAGAAATGGTTTCGAAAAACTTAAAGAGATTTAAATCAAATGTACGTTTTAAATCGGGCATATAATGAACAAGAAGCATGTCAATATATATGTGACAAACCTTGCTCTTCAACATCGGACTTTATTATACTTTTAACAGTTAGGTTTGGAGCGTCACTGCTGAGTATTTTGTAAACGAAAGACGCGTCTGGTGAACAAAATTATAAACCTGGTATCTTTATGGATTTTTGTTTCAAATAGAATAGAAAAATTCCGATTCACGGCTCAACAGAAGTCACGGTCATCGCAATTACACACCACTTAAGGTTCCTATCATGCTTTCATGACCGACTTTATTTCATGATTAAATATAAGTATTCAAACAAATCATTTACAAAGGAAACCAGAATAAATCTATCTAGAGAAAACAGGTACAACCTCCTCCACATTATTACTGAACGGCACATGTCCGCTGTTGAAATTGAACTTGAACTATATATCTATAAGTCCTTGACATTGTCTTAAATTCGGGAAGATTCTGCTGAGAAGGACATGTTCTATTCACAATCCAAATAAACTACAATATTTAAAAACATTTAGATCACTACTCTTAATCCAACAATATCAAATCCCTTAAAACCGAATTCACATATCGTTTATGGTCATTTATTTTACAATGCAAGTATGCAGATTTTGTCATGAATTCTGTCACTCGTAACTTTGACTATCGACAGGACACAAATAATTGTTTTAATATATTTAAAGGTAACACATTGTTAACGGAAACGTCAAAATCGTCAAAAGCGTACGTGTTAATTATAGTTTATGTCATTTTTATTCAATCTAAAAGAATTTATCAAATGATATTTAAATCATCATCCAGAAAACGCAAAAATACCAATTTTCAAAGATTATTGAGGACAAAATATTTGTACAAAAATGTCAAAATTGTCTGAATCGAACTTGACCTATATCTTATATACTAGTATGCAGATCTTGGAAAATTTGATCAAGTTGTATTTTCGTTATCTATTGTAAAGAAAAATATTGCCGGACATATATAGACAAACGAATACACTAATCACTATACATGCACCATTTCATGAGGTATAAAAAATATATATCTTCCATGATCTTTAATTTCGCCTTTTGATAAGATTTGAATTTTATGAACATGTTAAATTAAACTGGTTATTCTTTCGTAAAAATTCAATGAATGTCATGAGATAGTGCCTTTTACTGCTGAAATGTTTTTGTTTTCCCGTAGAGTCGGAATCTGAAATAGTTTTAAAAAACGCCATGGCAATTCCTTATTTAAGACGCCGAAGACGATATCATCAAAATGCTAAGTTTTTTCGTGACACTATGAAAATAATTGATTATAGCCTACCTTTCAAAGGAATCGGTCAGTTGCAAGGCAGAATATTTACACTTTTCCAGCATACCCGCATTTCTAGTGCCTTCCTAAATATCGCCCCTTTCCTTTCGGTAGGCCTTCATTTCTGCCTACGTATTATGTTTTACTTTTAAGGGAATCTTGTCGTGAAAATGTATGAAAAGATTGACACTGGACTTTAAGAAAGAAACAATCAATCACAAAATAACCTTTTTTCAACAAGTTCTTGCAACGCATACATCTAAGTTGGAAATTCTTTAAGAAAACCATTGAAACGAGAAGGTCTGCCTCACATTTTAATTTTTCCCCTTGGAATTGACAAATTTTGACAGCTTCAAACTAAGATCTATGACGAACCTTACATTTCAGCATAGTTCTGCCTTTTCATATAGCGTTTACGTGTGTAAATTGATGCGAGCATATTGTTGGAATGCGTGTACATGGTACGCGTACCCTGTCAACGCAACCGTCTCTCTTGTTGTGCAATTCATGCGATTCTTTCAATTGTCCCCGTTAGTTTTATTGTTAGAAATGACATTATAAGTTTCGATACGTTCAGTTCGATTTTAAACAATATTCACATTTGTTGATAAAGAACTGAAGGATTTTATCAGTTTTCCTTCCAAATCATAAAAGGAATAGGGATGCTGATGTCTTTACTATGTCAGGAACAGTATAATGTAGAAGGCGGACAATGTTTCGGACCCATATTTAAATGTTCATCTCAACCTCTCGGTTAAAGATAATTTCAAGATAACCTATAACGATATGTCCACAAGATACATATCCTGAATTCGAATTTTTAAAGTCTCATGAACTAAGAGTGTTGTTTGATATCTTGCATTTTAATCTTAATATATAAATTTCAAAGTCGGCATCTATAGATATATATTCTGCTTAATTATTGCGCAGGTAAAATAATTAAAGAAAAGCCAATTCAGTTTTATCAAAAATGTTTGGTCATCTCTATCTTTTTTAATCCTTAAACAAGTTAACATCTTACCGATAGCTCCTGGCTCCATTATATCATAAAACGTCAACCTTGAAATGACCTGTAAGTAAAAACACTTTTAGAAACGAAAGATGAATTGATATATAAATTTTTTTTCTTATACAACAGTAAAATGACAAAAAACTGAACTTCAAGAAAAATGAAAATTGGAAATTCCTTTATAAAATGGCAAAATTAAAAGCTCAAATGCATCAAACAAATGGAAAACAACTGTTTCACTTGTATGACATTCGCACATTTTATAGAAAACAAAGTGTGAACTAAACAAACAGACATAAAAGGGGAAGTAAACATTGTGTTATAACCTTCATCCATATAAAAACAAACAAACATGTCAATAAAGGAAAACAAAATGGCATATAGACAAAGCACATAAGAAACACTGAGAGACAAGAATACAAAAAATGACCACATCACAACAGCATATTGGTGGGATGTATAAGGACCGAGCCACGCTAAAAGGATATTACCAAACATGGACTAAGCGTCAGTACCAAGAATCTGTACTTCAAGACCATCATTTAATAACATAGCTTTAAAAGATTTCGCTCATTTCCATAAATAGGTTGATTCAATTGCTATAAAATGTCTGTGAAATAAAAACATTTGAAAGTGGTCTTTACTTAAGAAAACCGAAAGATTATGAGACATTTCCAAAGGTATTCATCCTGAATACGTGTCTTTTTTCCTCAAACTTCTTTAATAGATTCACCAAATCAGCAGTACAATCAATGTTTAAAAAAGTCAACGCGGTATGATAATTCTGATAAACTGTCAGTTGAGAATTTTACCTTACGAAACAACATTGCACAAGGTATGATTTTTTATTATGAACTTGCAATTGCTCAGTGTGGTAAAATTCTTCCAAAAGCTCCTGCATATTGATACTATATTGCAAGGCTCAATTCTTATCACACTGTCTTTGAAAGAGTGATACTGATTCCATTGATAATATTGTATCACTAATTCATCCCTTCTAAAATTTATAACAGTTATGGAATATCTGTCTTGGATGACTTTAATATGTACCGCTTGTCATGACAGCAAGCACGTTCCATCGATTGTTAAGTTATCAAATGCAACTTATGAAAGCATTTTTACTTGAAAAAAGAGTAATATGATTGGAGACACTAGTGGAGCATCAACTACTTCCCTTCCGGAACATTTGATAAAAAGTAATCCAATCTGCAGCCATAGATCAGACATCAACCTGATTAACAACTTAAAAAATGATATTGTCCCTGGCGTAGACGCAGTAATGTTCATATGTCATTATGGTTCATCTTCTCTTCATTGTATATCCCTACATGGCATTTTATCTGCCATACAAAATCACTTGAAAATGCACCACTTCAGCACGAAACTTTATTCATTCCCATATCGAACCTTTTCACACGTCTCAAAATATTAAAAACAAAACCTGCAAAATGATAACACGAAATATGGATACAAGATTTTAATTTTGCGTTTATAAGCCTTGATATTACTTGCTTTTCGTTGTGAGCCAACGCTCCGTTTTTAAAGCCGTACCTTAACGTATAATTGTTTACATTTTATACATTGGGACTAGGATGATGAGTTATCTCATTGGCATTCATACCACATCTTCTTATTTCAACTCATACTGATATCGTTATAAAGTCATCTTTAAACACTAATATTTTCCAGTGATAATTGAATGTCGGTTAGATATGTTTGATAAAACCATTTTATTCTTTTTACCTTAAGATTTAAAGGAATGAATTTTAAATGAATCTGTTTTATTAAAAAGGTAAACTGTCGCTTTTGCAAGATATTTCTAATGTATAACAACCATCTCTAAAATGTAT